ACCAAACTGGTTACACTAGTGGATTAAATACACAGCCAAAGACCCCACTGGTTACACTAGTGGATTTAATACAATGCCATAGACCCCACTGGTTACACTGGTAGATTGAATACAAAAGCCAAAGACCCCACTGGTTACACTAGTATATTAAATACAAAGCCATAGACCCCACTGGTTACATTAGTGGATTAAATACAAAGCAATATACCCAACTGGTTACACTAGTGGATTAAATACAATGCCATAGACCCTACAAACCATAGACCAAACTGGTTACACTAGTGGATTAAATACACAGCCATAGACCCCACTGGTTACATTAGTGGATTAAATACAAAGCAATATACCCAACTGGTTACACTAGTGGATTAAATACAATGCCAAAGACCCCACTGGTTACACTAGTAGATTAAATACAATGCCAAAGACCCCACTGGGTACACTAGTAGATTAAATACAAAAGCCAAAGACCGAACTGGTTACACCAGTGGATTGAATACAATGCCATAGACCCCACTGGTTACACTGGTAGATTAAATACAAAAGCCAAAGACCCCACTGGTTACACTAGTGGATTTAATTAATTTAATACAATGCCATAGACACCACTTGTTACACAAGTGGATTGAACACAAAACCAAATACCCTAATGGTTACACTAGTGGATTGAATACAATGCCATAGACTCCACGGGTTACACTAGTGGATTGATTTCAATGCCATAAACCCCACTGGTTACACTAGTGGATTGATAACAAAGCCAAAGACCCTAATGTTTACACTAGTGGATTCAATACAATGCCATAGACCCCACTGGTTACACTAGTGGATTGAACACAAAACCAAAGACCTTACTGGTTACACTAGTGGATTAAATACAAAGCCAAAGACCCCACTGGTTACACTAGTGGATTAAATACAAAACCATAGACCCAACTGGTTACACTAGTAGATTAAATACACAGCCAAAGACCGCACTTGTTATACTAGAAGATTAAATACAAAGCCAAATTTTAGGCCCCACTGGTTACACTAGTGGATTAAATTCAAAATCATAGACCCAACTGGTTACACAAGTGGATTAAATACACAGCCAAAGACCCCACTGGTTACACTAGAAGATTAAATACAAAGCCAAAGACCCCACTGGTTACACTAGTGGATTAAATACAATGCCATATACCCCACTGGTTACACTAGTAGATTAAATACACAGCCAAAGACCCCACTGGTTACACTAGAATATTAATACAAAGCAAAAGACCCTACTGGTTACACCAGTAGATTAAATACAAAGCAATAGACCCCACTGGTTACACTAGTGGATTAAAAACAAAACCATAGACCTAAATGGTTACATTAGAAGATTAAATACACAGCCAAAGACCCCACTGGTTACACTAGTGGATTAAATACAAAGCCAAAGACCCCACTGGTTACACTAGTAGATTAAATACAATGCCATAGACCCCACTGGTTACACTAGTGGATTAAATACAAAACCATAGACCCCACTGGTTACACTAGAAGATTAAATACACAGCCAAAGACCCCACTGGTTACACTAGTGGATTAAATACAAAACCATAGACCAAACTGGTTACACTAGTGGATTAAATACACAGCCATAGACCCAACTGGTTACACTAGTGGATTAAATACAAAGCAATAGACCCCACTGGTTACACTAGTGGATTGAATACAAGGCCATAGACCCCACTGGTTACACTAGTGGATTGAACACAAAACCAAAGACCCTACTGGTTACACTAGTGGATTAAATACAATGCCATAGACCCCACTGGTTACACTAGTGGATTGAATACAATTCCATAGACCCCACTGGTTACACAAGTGGATTAAATACAAAGCCAAAGACCCCACTGGTTACACTAGTGGATTGAACACAAAACCAAATACCCTACTGGTTACACTAGTGGATTGAATACAATGCCATAGACCCCACTGGTTACGTTAGTAGATTAAATACAATGCCATAGACCCCACTGGTTACGTTAGTAGATTAAATACAAAACCAAAGACCCCACTGGTTACACTAGTGGATTAAATACACAGCCATAGACCCCACTGGTTACACCAGTGGATTGAATACAATGTCATAGACCCTACTAAATGGGTGACCCAAGAGTGGTGAAATACATCTGTACTAAAAAATATTTACCAAGGGAGAAATGGGTGACCCAAGAGTGGTGAAATACATCAGTACTAAAAAAGATTTACCAAGGGAGAAATGGGTGACCCAAGAGTGGTGAAATACATCAGTACTAAAAAAGATTTACCAAGGGAGAAATGGGTGACCCAAGAGTGGTGAAATACATCTGTACTAAAAAAGATTTACCAAGGGAGAAATGGGTGACCCAGGAGTGGTGAAATACATCTGTACTAAAAAAGATTTACCAAGGCAGAAATGGGTGACCCAAGAGTGGTGAAATACAAATTTTTGATAAAGCACATTTGAACTTTCCCATCAATGAACAGGATAAGATATCAGCATATCTTGGTTTGAAGATTATTAAAATTTTAGCCAATTCCACCCCTTTTGGGCTCTGTCCCTCAGGCACCTTGGGGTGAGTCAAGGTTTTGATTTTGATAGCATGAAACTGCAACATACCCAAAACTGTTATTTCTCTAGACCGGGGGGGTAATGAAATTAATGATTTTGATAAAGCAACACTTTAGACCTTTTTCATCAATGAAGATCATATCAGGGTCTGAAGGATATTGTTGAAATTTAGTCAATTTGACTCCTTTTGGCTCCACCTCTCAGGCCCTGGGGGTCAGGATCAGGGTATTAATGATCATGATTTCAAACTGCTATCATATGATGATAATTCCAGCTAATTGAATTCTTTTCCACAGAAATTAAGCAAAAAATATAAAAAAAGTGTTATTTCTCTATATAGACTATAGTAAACTTAATCCACTCCCCAGGGGTAATAGAAATCACATTTTGATAAAAAAAAAAAAACCCACACCTTTAGACCCTTGAAGGGTATTTGATTCCAGATTATCTGGGTCTGAAGATAATTGTGGAATATTTTGTTGATTTGGCCACTTTTGGGTCCCGTTCCTCAGGCCCCTTGGGGCGTAAAAAATCTACAATTCACAGTTTTGGTTTGCCTGTGACCATGGAAAATCCTGCAAAATTTTATTGAAATCTATTCCGTGGTTTGGGGAAGAAGTCTCAAATTCGAATTGTTTATGGACGCACAACAGATGACACAAGATAAAAGACGATTCACAATAAGTCAAATCACACATCGTCTCAGGTGACCTAAAAACATCTTAAGTAATAAAGTATAACAAGAGGCCCAATGGGCCTGCATCGCTCACCTGGTATTAAACTCACACTTGTAATCGTAAAAGTGGACTAAAAGAAACAGCTGCAGGCAGAATATCAGTGTTTGATTCATAAGAACCTATTAAAAGATTTAAACATATGACGCCTGTGACCTTGAATGTCAAACAAGGACATTAGGTTAAAATACAGGCAAAATATCAGTACCCTGGGCATTTTGGTTATTGAGAAGAATTTGTTTGAAGATTTTAAGACATTTAACCCCTGTCACCTTGAAACTGGGTCAAGGTCATTCATTTGAACAAACTTGGTAGCCCTTCATCCAATCATGCTACAGGCCCAATACCAGTACATTGAGCCTTTTGGTTATTGAGAAGAAGTCATTTGAAGATTTTAACATATTTGACCCCTGTGACCTTGAAAGTGGGTCAAGGTCATTCATTTGAACAAACTTGGTAGCCCTTCATCCAATCATGCTACAGGCCCAATACCAGTACATTGAGCCTTTTGGTTATTGAGAAGAAGTCATTTGAAGATTTTAACATATTTGACCCCTGTGACCTTGAAAGTGGGTCAAGGTCATTCATTTGAACAAACTTGATAGTCCTTCATCCCAGCATGCTACAGGCCCAATATCAGTACCCTGGGCCTTTTGGTTATTGAGAAGAAGTTGTTTGAAGATTTTACGACATTTGACCCCTGTCACCTTGAAAGTTGGTTAAGGTCATTCATTTTAAAAATCTTGGTGGTCCTTCATCCCAGCATGCTACAGGCCCAATATCAGTACCCTGGGCCTTTTGGTTATTGAGAAGAAGTCGTTTGAAGATTTTACGACATTTGACCCCTGTCACCTTGAAAGTTGGTTAAGGTCATTCATTTTAAAAATCTTGGTGGTCCTTCATCCCAGCATGCTACAGGCCCAATATCAGTACCCTGGGCCTTTTGGTTATTGAGAAGAAGTCGTTTGAAGATTTCAAGACATCTGACCCCAGTGACCTTGAAAGTTGGTCAAGGTCATTCATTTGAACAAACTTGGTAGCCCTTCATCCCAGCATGCTACAGGCCCAATATCAGTACCCTATGCCTTTTGGTTATTGAGAAGAAGTCGTTTGAAGATTTTAAGACATCTGACCCCAGTGACCTTGAAAGTGGATCAAGGTCATTCATTTGAACAAACTTGGTAGCCCTTGATTCCAGTATGCTACTGGCCAAATATCATCATCCTAGGCCTTTTGGTTACTGAGAAGAAGTTGTTTAAAGTAAAAAGTTGACGCCGGACAGACGGACGACGGGCGACGGGCGACGGACGACGGACAGATGGACGCCGCACCATGGCATAAGCTCACTTGCCCTTCGGGCAGGTGAGCTAAAAATTGTATAATCGGCCCACTAGGCAGCAATCATCAGGACACTGATATAAATGCGGCTATACCTAACGTGTCGAATTAAGACATCAGGTTAATTATGCTGAACAAATGTTAACTTAATAATGATTGTCAAGGGTGATTACCTTCACCTGGTGTATGCTCACTTGTCCAGTTTGCATAGATTCTGGCAGCATGAATGAAACAGGTGACTTTAAAACTATGAAATCATTGATGAAATATAAACAAAGTTTTCTGTAAAACATGGATGTCCTCTTGTCAAAATATAACAAAAAGAACTTAAAGGCTAAACTTACGGCATCATGAGGCATGTTGAGGCACAGGAAACTGCACACACAGCACTTAGCGGTCTGGAAATATTAACATCAGTTTACTGTACATCACACACAGCACTAAGCCGTCTGGAAATATTAACATCAGTTTACTGTACATCACACACAGCACTAAGCTGTCTGGAAATATTAACATCAGTTTACTGTACATCACACACAGCACTAAGCTGTCTGGAAATATTAACATCAGTTTACTGTACATCACACACAGCACTAAGCTGTCTGGAAATATTAACATCAGTTTACTGTACATCACACACAGCACTAAGCTGTCTGGAAATATTAACATCAGTTTACTGTACATCACACACAGCACTAAGCTGTCTGGAAATATTAACATCAGTTTACTGTACATCACACACAGCACTAAGCTGTCTGGAAATATTAACATCAGTTTACTGTACATCACACACAGCACTAAGCTGTCTGGAAATATTAACATCAGTTTACTGTACATCACACACAGCACTAAGCTGTCTGGAAATATTAACATCAGTTTACTGTACATCACACACAGCACTAAGCTGTCTGGAAATATTAACATCAGTTTACTGTACATCACACACAGCACTAAGCTGTCTGGAAATATTAACATCAGTTTACTGTACATCACACACAGCACTAAGCTGTCTGGAAATATTAACATCAGTTTACTGTACATCACACACAGCACTAAGCTGTCTGGAAATATTAACATCAGTTTACTGTACATCACACACAGCACTAAGCTGTCTGGAAATATTAACATCAGTTTACTGTACATCACACACAGCACTTAGCGGTCTGGAAATATTAACATCAGTTTACTGTACAATCACACACAGCACTAAGCCGTCTGGAAATATTAATTAACATCAGTTAACTGTACATCACACACAGCACTAAGCTGTCTGGAAATATTAACATCACTTTACTGTACATCACACACAGCACTTAGCCGTCTGGAAATATTAACATCAGCTGTTAACAACAGGCTCAGAAAACCTGTATTGACACACGTCAAATTGATAAATTAAAAGCAGCTATGATCTAGCTTACATGTTCTTTTTTCTTCATGCCAGGCAAACATGTATACCATTACATGATGAGAACAGGAACTTTTCGAAATTATGACTCAAAGACTAATACAAGAGATCCCAGAGGAGATTTTGGCACCCACCATCATCAGATCTTTTGATCTCTGTCTTATCTACGAGGGGGGGGGGGGCGGGGGGGGGGCAGCAGTGACCAGGTGGTTAAGGTATCTGACCCTCTAAGACGTTAAGCCCACCACCCACTAGCTCATATTTACTGGTTATATGGTCTTGTAAACAATAAAGGTTTTATCTATTGCTTGATGGTCTTGTAAACAATAAACAAGCCATTCAGATTAATATGTCTCGCCTCTGCCCAGCTTTGACCATCAATGCACATGTCAAGTTTGGTTGGTGTAGCACTTATAGTTTCAGAGAAACTAACTAAAACGCAAAAACTTAATGTTGATGGAATGCTGACAAAGTCAATAGACCTTGAAAGGTAGGCCGCATCCAGCATTTGATGCATGGGTTAAGATGTACTACCTAAGATGCATATATGGTCTAAGTTTTGTTGGTCCTGCACTTATACTTCCAGTGTTGACGCCACCGCCATCTTTGCCAGAAAAGCAACACCTTAGTCTCGCTTTCGCCATTTCGTGGCGGTGAGACAAATCTTACTTTACTAACAATGAATTTAACTTACTTCTAACAATAAATTTAACTTACAATCAGCAATGAGTTTCATTAAATACTAACAATGAGTTTCACTAACTTCTAACAATGAGTTTAACTTACTCCTTATAATGAGTTTAACTTACTACTAAACATAAGTTTAACTAACAACTAACAATAAGTTTCACTAACTCCTAACAATGAGTTTAACTAATTTCTAACAATGAGTTTAACTTACTACTAACAATAAGTTTAACTAACTACTAACAATGAGTTTAACTAACTATTAACAAGGAGTTTCACTTACTACTAACAATAAGTTTAACTTACTTCTAACAATGAGTTTAACTTACTCCTAACAATGAGTTTAACTTACTACTAACAATAAGTTACTAACTTCTAACAATGAGTTTTACTAACTTCTACAATGAGTTACACTAACTTCTAACAATGAATTTCACTTACTTCTAACAATGAGTTTCACTAACTTCTAACAATGAGTTTTACTAACTTCTAACAATGAGTTTTACTAACTTCTAACAATGAGTTACACTAACTTCTAACAATGAGTTTCACTAACTACTAACAATGAGTTTAACTAACTACTAACAATGAGTTTTACTTACTACTAACAATGAGTTTAACTAACAACTAACAATGAATTTAACCTACTACTAACAATGAGTTTATCTCACTTCTAACAATGAGTTTTACTAACTTCTAACAATGAGTTACACTAACTTCTAACAATTAGTTTCACTTACTACTAACAATAAGTTTAACTAACTACTAACAATGAGTTTTACTTACTACTAACAATGAGTTTAATGAACTACTAACAATGAGTTTAACTAACTACTAACAATGAGTTTAATGAACTACTAACAATGAGTTTAACTAACTACTAACAATGAATTTAACTTACTACTAACAATGAGTTTATCTTACTACTAACAATGAGTTTAACTAACTACTAACAATGAATTTAACTTACTACTAACAATGAGTTTAATGAACTACTAACAATGAGTTTAACTAACTACTAACAATGCGTTTAATTAACTAACAATGAGTTTAACTTACTACTAACAATGAGTTTAATGAACTACTAACAATGAGTTTAACTTACTACTAACAATGAGTTTAACTTACTACTAACAATGAGTTTATCTTACTACTAACAATGAGTTTCACTAACAACTAACAATGAGTTTAACTAACTACTAACAATGAGTTTAACTTACTACTAACAATGAGTTTAACTTACTACTAACAAGAGGCCCAATGGGCCTGCATCGCTCACCTGGTATTAATCTCACACTTGTAATCTTAAAAGTGGACTAAATACAGCTACAGGCAGAATATCAGTGTTTGATTCATAAGAACCTATGAAAAGATTTAAACAAATGACGCCTGTGACCTTGAATGTCGAACAAGGACATCAGGTTGAAAGTGGATCAAGGTCATTCATTTGATTAAACTTGGTAGTCCTTCATCCCAGCATGCTACAGGCCTAATTTCAGTACCCTGGGCCTTTTGGTTATTGAGAAGTTATTTGAAGATTTTAAAACATTTGACCCCTGTGACCTTGAAAGCTGGTCAAGGTCATTCATTTGAACAAACTTGGTAGCCCTTCATCCCAGCATGCTACAGGCCCAATATCAGTACCCTGGGCCTTTTGGTTATTGAGAAGAAGTTGTTTGAAGATTTTAAGACATCTGACTCCAGTGACCTTGAAAGTGGGTCAAGGTCATTCATTTGAACAAATTTGGTAGCCCTTCATCCCAGCATGCTACAGGCCTAATATCAGTACCCTGGGCCTTTTGGTTATTGAGAAGAAGTTGTTTAAAGTAAAAAGTTGACGCCGGACAGACGGACGACGGTCGACGGACGCCGCACCATAACATAAGCTCACTTGCCCTTCGGGCAGGTGAGCTAAAAATGAGTTTAACTTACCACTAACAATGAGTTTAACTTACTTCTAACAATGAGTTTCACTAACTTCTAACAATGAGTTTAACTTACTACTAACAATGAGTTTAATTAACTACTAACAATAAGTTAAACTTACTACTAACAATGAGTTAAATTAACTACTAACAATGAGTTTAACTTACTACTAACAATGCGTTTAATTAACTAACAATGAGTTTAACTTACCACTAACAATGAGTTTAACTTAATACTAACAATGATTTAATTAACTACTAATAATGAGTTTAACTTACTACTAACAATAAGTTTAACTAACAACTAACAATGAGTTTAAATAACTACTAACAATGAATTTAATTTACCACTAACAATGAGTTTAACTTACTACTAACAATTAGTTTAATTAACTACTAACAATGAGTTTAAATTACTACCAACAATAAGTTTAACTAACAACTAGCAATGAGTTTCTTTAACTCCTAAAAATGAGTTTAACTTATTTCTAACAATGAGTTTCACTTACTACTAACCATGAGTTAAACTAGCTACTAACAATGAGTTTCACTAACTACTAACAATGAGTTTAACTAACTACTAACAGTGAGTTTAATTAACTACTAACAATGAGTTTAACTAACTACTAACAGTGAGTTTAACTAACTACTAACAGTGAGTTTAACTAACAACTAACAGTGAGTTTAACTAACTACTAACAGTGAGTTTAACTAGCTTCTAACAGTGAGTTTAACTAACAACTAACAATGAGTTTAACTAACTACTAACAGTGAGTTTAACTTACTACTAACAATGAGTTTAATTAACTACTAACAATGAGTTTAACTAACTACTAACAGTGAGTTTAACTTAGGTTAATTAACTTTGTTGACAACCGTATGTCCTTCAAACATAGGATACTTACATAGGTGTCGTTTTTGACCTGGTTCACACATGACACAAGCGTCTCTACAATGAAGGTTCGTGTCCTCTGGGGTATCACCTGGCTCTTCCCATTCATCATCAGGAACAGACACGCACTGCCAATCATCACAACATAAATCTGATTACCTTTAGAAATGACTGTTTGATCAGACTTCAAACTGGTTTCTCAACCAAAACGAAATTTACGTTCAAATCTCTCTCAAGCCCACCATTACAAGCCAACCATTACAAGCGCCCACCATTACGTGCCCACCATTACAAGCGCCCACCATTACAAGCCCACCATTACAAGCGCCCACCATTACAAGCCCACCATTACAAGATCTTCATTATCTCTAAGTTTGATCTTTCCTCTTTTCTTGATCAAACCAAATTCAAGGCCTTTTCAGGGCTCTTTCAAGACCCTAACTGACATTTTCAAAATTGGCCAAGAAGAGAACACTAGAAGATGTTTTGGTAGTAACCTTCTTTTTTTAAGGAGGTAATGTAGAGTCTTCCCCTGGAAGAAAAATTGCATTTATAGTTGCAATTACATTATGGTTGCTTTTAAGGTTTTAAGCATATTTGTGAAGTATATTTAACACCAAAGTCAATGTTTATAGGCACTGTTCAAGTGCCTATGTTTATAGGCAATGGTCAACTGCCTGTGTTTATAGGCACTGTTCAACTGCCTGTGTTTATAGGCACTGTTCAAGTGCCCATGTTTATAGGCACTGTTCAAGTGCCTGTGTTTATAGGCACTGTTCAAGTGCCCGTGTTTATAGGCACTGTTCAACTGCCCATGTTTATAGGCACTGTTCAAATGCCCGTGTTTATAGGCACTGTTCAGGTGCCTGTGTTCATAGGCACTGTTCAAGTGTCTGTGTTTATAGGCACTGTTCCAGTGTATGCGTTTATATACACTGTTCAAGTGTCCGTGTTTATAGGCACTGTTCAAATGCCCGTGTTTATAGGCACTGTTCAAGTGTCCGTGTTTATAGGCACTGTTCAAGTGCCCGTGTTTATAGACACTGTTCAAGTTCCTCTGTTTAAAGGCACTGTTCAAGTGCCTTTGTTTATAAGCACTGTTCAAGTGCCTGTGTTTATAACTGTTCAAGTGCCTGTGTTTAGAGACACTGTTCAAGTGGCTGTGTTCATATGCACTGTTCAAGTGTCTGTGTTTATAGGCACTGTTCCAGTGTATGCGTTTATAGACACTGTTCAAGTGTCCGTGTTTAAAGGCACTGTTCAAATGCCCGTGTTTATAGGCACTGTTCAAGTGCCCATGTTTATAGGCACTGTTCAAATGCCCGTGTTTATAGGCACTGTTCAAGTGTCCGTGTTTATAGGCACTGTTCAAGTACCCGTGTTTAAAGACACTGTTCAAGTGCCTCTGTTTATAGGCACTGTTCAAGTGCCTGCGTTTATAACTGTTCAAGTGCCTGTGTTTATAGGCACTGTTCAAGTGCCCATGTTTATAGGCACTGTTCAAGTGCCTGTGTTTATAGATACTGTTCAAGTGCCTGTGGTTATAGGAACTGTTCAAGTACCTGTCCTCAGAATTTTTCATACATGATTTTCACGCTGACTTGCCCATTTTCTTTATATCAATGATCTTGTGACACAACGTGTAGTTGGCCTTGGTATTGGCACTTTCAAATTCATTCATCCACTTTTTAAATATTGTGTTGTTGGTCCATTGTTAAAGAAATGGGCATTTCCCCATCTTAGGAGCTTGTTACAAAACTCCTTACGGCAAAACATTAAATATTTGGAAAAACTCACTTGGAACTCTCAGATAACTTGTTGAAATTACTACAATAAAAGTCAGCAGGAGTTGCTTCCCCTCTGTCACAACGGTGCAAACACAACAACAATTAACAGTTCAAAAAAACATTTTGTTTTATACATAATTGTGGAATTTTAATGAGGAAAAAAATATGACTTTGGGCAATCCTATATGGATTACAGAACAGCAAAATTGAAGGCTTTTCAAGGCTCAAAAAGTGAAATTCAAGGCTTTTCCAGGCCACACTCTAAATTAAAGACTTTTTCAAGGTCCGTGCAAACCCTGTGAAGGCCATCTTGGATTTCTGATCAGTCACAAAATGAAACATGCACAATTATGGCCTGAGAGGAACCTACATATGAAATATGAAAATGATATGCCTGGTACTTTTTAACAAACTCTAAAAATCCAAGATGGCTGCCTGGTGGCCATTTTGTTTCTGATTGGTCTCAATATGAAACATGCACAACAAAGGGCAAAAGGGGAATCTACATGTGATCCCTCCAGTACTAACAAGAGATCCCAGAGGGATCTTGGCGCCCACCTTTGTACCATCTTCATTAGTTCTTTGTCAGTTTGATCTTTTCTCTTCTTTCCTCTAATCTGTTTGATCGAGTCATGTTAACAGTAAATGCACCTTGAGGTAACTTTTGATCTAAACTTAATACTGATGTGTATGAAAGCCAACCTTCAAAGTGAGTTTGTCATTTCACATATTTACTAGTACAGTACTTAATGTGAAAGAAATAGAATCGATCATTGCAATATGAGAAAGATCTGTTTAGTTCTTCTTTTAATCCATTTTGTTTTTATGATCAGTCTCAAAATATAACATACACAACGAGG